ATGAATAGCAACACTTCACCACTCTCCAAAGACAAGCAATGCAAATCCTATAATTGGGTTGTGGTAGGTATTTTCAGGCTATATGGCCATGGTCTAGAGGTATTCTCTCCTGACGTTTCGCCTGCATTTATGGCAAGCATCCTCAGAGGGAGTGAGGTCTGCTGGAACTAGGAAAAGGGGTTTATATATCTGTGGAATGACCAGGGTGGGACAAAGGACTTTTGTCTGCTGGAGCTAGGTGTGAATGTTTCAACTGACCACCTTGATTAGCATATAATGTGTACCATGCAGCTGTGGACAAGTCTACACAGGGACCACCAAACACAGCACTGCCCAAACACGAATCAAGGAACATGAAAGACACTGAAGACTACTTCAACCAGAGAAGTCAGCCATAGCAGAGCACCTTCTGAACCAACATGGACACAGCATTTTATTTGAGAACACAGAAATGCTGGACCACTCTCACAACCACCATGTCAGACTACACAGAGAAGCCATTGAAATACACAAGCATGTGGACAATTTCAACAGAAAGGAGGAAACCACGAAAATGAACAAAATCTGGCTACCAGTACTAAAAAACTATATAATTACAACAGCACAACAACAGAGAGGAAACAAACAAGGACATCTAAACACCTCTCAACAAAAGTTTGCTCCAGGCACAGTCAGACCATTATATGCTAATCAAGGTGGTCAGTTGAAACATTCACACCTAGCTCCAGCAGACAAGAGTCCTTTGTCTCACCCTGGTCATTCCACAGATATATAAACCCATTTTCCTAGTTCCAACAGACCTCACTACCTCTGAGGATGCGTGCCATAGATGCAGGCGAAACGTCAGGAGAGAATGCCTGTAGAACATGGCCATATAGCCCGAAAAAACCTACAACAACCCAATGATTCCGGCCATGAAAGCCTTCGTCAAAACCTATAATTGTTATTTGTTATTTTAATTACTATAATACAGTAATTACATTATTTCAGAAAAGGAACACTGTGAACACTTTCAAATGTACTACTGGTAAATTTGTTTCATCACATTTCCGTATCAAATTTCTATTTTTGCCAGACTACATAAGAATCAGTAATTTGATATGTCCAAATTTTCAAAAATGCATTTTTGAATACTGTTTTGGATGTAAATCTGCACCAAAAATACGTATTTGAACCTGAACAAAATTAAAATGATATGAGCTTAGAAGTAGCACTTCTAATGGCAACAAGAAGCTTTCCCATCCCTGCGCACCTGGGGTGGGAGAGAGATTTGCCTCCTCCCACGAAGGGAGAGCAATGTAGTTCCGCCTGGAACTACTTGGAAGGGGGTAGAGCCAGGCTCTAGACAATGGCCTGCCCTCTTCCTCATTCAAGAGCTGAACGTTGACCCACCACTCCCGCCCATTAAACAGTATGTAAGGGTTGCCATTAGGGGGCCGGGTAAGATTCTTTCCCCTCTTATGTTCTAGGAGGGGTTTTTGCCTACCCTACACTGTTGCAGGACAAATTGGGATGGTGTGGCATTAGATAGTTGGTCATGGTAAACAGTTAGAAAAAGCTAAAACTTGGTGTACGCCCAAGGGATGAAAGCCATTAACTAAAACACTCACCTAAGGTTCAATTTGATGAGGTGAGGTGAATTATAATGGCCTAGGAACAGGGAGAGTATGGTCTCAGATACCCTGAGACTTCTCTGACACATTTCCCTCAGAGGTTGCCTGGGTTGGATGTCCAGGGGACCCTGGTGTTTCGCCCTAACTAGCTGAGGGGTAGTCTGGGCAGGGATGCTACCTCGGCTTTGCCACCAAGTTCAGGATCCATAGATTTAGATCCAGTCAAAGTTAGACAGGTAAGAGTTAATAAAAGTTGCCCATATTTAAAATCCAATTACTGATGTGTGGTCTCGTTGTTTCGGGGGTTGGCAGGCAAAGTGTTACATCCAGGAGTGAGCACATCACACCAGTAGTAAAATCAGTCCACTGATTGCCAATTAATTTCCATGTAATGGACAATATGTTAATTATTACCTACATGGTTTTGGGTCCAGATTACTGAAAGGATCACCTTCTCTCACACAACACACACATACACTCAGGTCATCTGGGGGACATTTACTTTGCCCAAAGGACTTTTTGGTCAGCTGTCCCTAGACTATGAAATGGCCTGCTAGAAGAGATTTGATGGTGTGCTGTCACACGTTGGGCCTGTGCATAAGACTGTAGACAGGACATAAATTCTGTGTGCCCAATGGGACGCCAGGGCTGCCTCAGACTGAAGGCCTTTGGATTTCCTTAAAACAGAGTCTTTAGATTGCGTAAATGTTCAACAAAGTTCTTTATTAATGAAAACAAACAGGTACTTTAAAGCTTTCTTAACAGTCTATTGGCTCTCTCTCAAGTTTGTCCACAGGGAACAGGCACTATCTTCATAACTGTAACTGATGGGGAAATCCTTAACTTCTAATCTGGGCAGTCTGTCTTTGCCTCTGTTGGCGTGTAGCCCCTGCACCTGGTACCAACTGCTTCTGGCTTCCACGAGTGACCCTTACCAAGCAGAGCTTTGTAGACTTCCAGGGGAAAAAGAATTCAGGTTTCCGTGATGGCTGACTGAAGTCCTTCAGCAAAGGAGCTGTAGGGCTGTATAACCCCTGCCAAGCTGTGGGCTGTATATCTCCCCGGCCAAGCCGTAGAAGATGAAGCTTTCTACAGGAGCTCTTGGTATTATGTCCTGAATGGAAAGCTTCTCTAGGTGGACTGAACCCAAAATGGCTCCTATTCCCTCAAAAACCCCAAAAGGGGGTGGGACCAGGGAACCTAACGATAATTGACAGGTGGCTTGCCCTATGAATGCAGCCAAAAGAAGCTACCTATCTGCAGAGTCCCTGAAACTTAGGACTATAACAAACATTCAATGCAAAGCAAACAAAATTGGAGCTCCTGGTATAGTTGTACCTGCACAGATGGCTACGCACATCATCTCAATTTCAAAAAGAACTATCACTTCTGGCAGGCCTACCCAGTCAATTAATTTTAAATTAACATTTTATAGGAATGGCTGATCTTAATGTGTGTTTTAATCTATATGCTTTAAATGTTTTTAGGTTTTTAGTTATCTGTTGTATTTTAATGCTCTGTCCTACCCCACCTTGAGTCTTGTGAACAGACAAATAAAAAATAAAATGTATGATGATGATGATGCTGACGATGATGTAACATAACTATCAAAGTTACCATATGTTCCAGTGTGACATGAAATAGTTTTACTTGCATGGATGCTAACTTTTAGCTATAGGTACTGTATGCAGGTGAAAAGAAGGATCCTGTCTACTGTTGTCTGCACCAGTGCTCTTTAAACTGTGGATTTTTAGCTCATTGTTGAGGTTGCCAACATTTTGGAAACAGTAAAAGGTTTCTGAATGCCACACATTTTTACAAATCTGTTAGCAACAGTGTGCAGGGATTATACCAGAAAATGTTTGAGCTTTATGTCAGAAAAAGAAAAAAAACAGCCTATCAAACCTTGAAAATGCTGATTTATTTTCAGTAATTGTTTGGATGTTTTACCTATTTTATATATCTACTAGCTTTCCCCTGCCACGCGTTGCTGTGGCCCAGTCTGTTGATCTGGAAAATAAAGTAATGAGAAAGTGTTGGTTTCTAATATATGTAATTTCTTTATGCTTGTGGGTAAACAGTATTTCTTGCTGTTTCTTTGTCAGTGTTGATGTGGAGAGTGTCTGGTTTGCCCACCCTAGGAAATGCAACATATCATTGTCCTTCTTTAAGGGTCCCTTTCAAATCTATGATACTATATCTGTGTGTGTGTGAATCATATCTATCTATCTATCTATCTATCTATCTATCTATCTATCTATCTATCTATATCTATGGCTGGATGGCTCTTTGTCAGGAGGACTTTGATTATGTTTTCTTGCCCTGATGAAGAGTTGGATTGGATGGCCTTAAGTATTTTCTGTTGGTCATGGGGGTTCTGTGTGGGAAGTTTGCCCTGATTCTGTCGTTCGTGGGGTTCAGAATGCTCTTTGATTGTAGGTGAACTGTGAATCCCAGTGACTACAACTCCCAAATGTCAAGGTCTATTTCCCCCAAACTCCATCTGTGTTCATATTTGGGCGTATTGAGTGCTTGTGCCAAGTTTGTCCAGATCCATCATTGTTTGAGTCCACAGTGCTCTCTGGATGTAGGTGAACTACAACTCCCAAACTCAAGGTCAATGCCCACCAAACCCTTCCAGTATTTTCTGTTGGTCATGGGAGTTCTGTGTGCCAAGTTTGGTTCAATTCCATCGTTGATGGAGTTCAGAATGCTCTTTGATTGTAGGTGACTATAAATCCCAGCAACTACAACTCCCAAATGACAAAATCATAATTTTTTGAGTGATGGTCACTCCTTGTGTTGTGAGACATTTTGTTGCCAAATTTGGTGTGATTTCGTTCATTGGTTCTTTTGTTTTTAAGGTACTCATTATGCACAGAGCATTTATATATATATAGATATATTTGGGGTCATGTAGAAATTTATCAGGTGGAAAAGGGTCATGAGTAGAAAAGTTTTAAGAAGGTAATAAATGATGCTTCTGTTTCTTCACTTTCTCCTTTCCTCTGCCTTTCCTTCATCCCCCATTTCTTTTGTGTTGTATCTTTTTCAGACTATAAACCTGTCATCAGAAGCTATGTTCTTTTTTATTGGTTTTCCATAACCTACTCTTGAAGCTTTTCAAATTAAAAACAAGATTAAATGTACAAAGAAATAAATGCTCAGTGATTTCATGTGCAACTTTTCCTAAAAAATTTTTTTCAGGAAGTAGTTTCCACTGCAACATGAGAACAGAGGATACAATAAACCGATGGTAGGTGAACATGGAAGTATACACAGCTTTTAATGGTTTCCCATATGACAGACAAATTCAACAATTTAAGATCTGATCTTGGCTGGCTGACACCATATGAGAAATGCCAATATCATATGAGAAACACATACCTTAATGTTCTCAGGGATACTGAGTTGTTGTCGTGTTTCTGTCAATCGTTTAATCACAGCCTCCCTGGTTTCTTCTAGCGACGGGCTCGAGGGAGCTCCTGCTGCATCCTGCTTCACAGTCTCTTTGGCGCTCTCCTGATGAAGGCTCCTTTGAGGTGTTTTGAGGGGGCAGCTTTGTTCCTCTGACATCTTGAGCTTCAGCTCTGTGAAGAAAATGCCAAGGATAGAGATGGAGAAATAATTTTCACCATCCAATACAGATGTTCATATAAACAACAACAACAACAACAACAACAACAACAACACCTTGGGATTGAAAAATCTGTAGAGGCTGGATAGTTATTATTTATTATTTTATTTATTTAGAACGTTTATATACTGGTCTTCTTGACCTCGAGAGAGGGACTCAGGCCGGTTTACAGCATGTTTCAAAAAAAGTAGATTAAAACATCACACCATAAAACATATTAATACATAAAATACATTAAAATCAATCATATAATTACATAAAGCCAAGTCGTCCAAAAGATATCACAATTTATTACCATCCGTCCGTGTGGCCAGAAGTTCTTGACTCACTCATCAAATGCTAAATTCCAGATCCAAGTTTTCACCAATTTTCTAAAAGTCAGGAGGGAAGGGGGGAGTGGGAGAGAGTTCCAGAGCCGAGGGGCCACCACTGAGAAGGCCCTGTCCCTCGTCCCCACCAGACGCACCTGCGAGGATGGTGGGACCGAGAGCAGGGCCCCTCTGGAAGATCTTAATAACCTTGATGGTTCATAGAAGAGAATCCGTTCGGACAGGTAAACTGGGCCGGAGTCATATAGGGATTTATAGGTCAACACCAGCACTTTGAATTGTGCTCGGAAGCTAATTGGCAGCCAGTGGAGCTGATGCAACAGAGGAGTAGTATGCTCCCTGTACCCATCCCCTGTTAGTAATCTGGCTGCCGCTCGTTGGACTAGTTCAGGGGTAGGGAACCTTTGGCCCTCCAGCTGTGGTGGACTTCAACTCCCACAATTCCTTGAGGCTCGGCATTGGGCCAAGGTAAGCCTTTGGGGCGAATGCCGAGCCTCAAGGAATTGTGGGAGTTGAAGTCCACCACAGCTGGAGGGCCAAAGGTTCCCTACCCCTGGACTAGTTGAAGCTTCCGGGCAGTCTTCAGAGGCAACCCCACGTAGAGAGCGTTGCAGTAGTCTATATGGGATTTAACCAGAGCGTGGACCACCGTGGCCAAGTCAGACTTCCCAAGGTACGGGCACAGCTCGTGCACAAGTTTTAATTGTGCAAAAGCTCCCCTAACCATCACCGAGACCTGGGGTTCCAGGCTCAGCGATGAGTCCAGGATCAATGTATTGTCGAAGGCTTTCATGGCCGGAATCACTCAGTTCTTGTGGGTTTTTTCGGGCTATATGGCCATGTTCTAGAGGCATTTCTCCTGACGTTAGATGCAGGAGAAACGTCAGGAGAAATGCCTCTAGAACATGGCCATATAGCCCGAAAAAACCCACAAGAACTGAGTCCAGGATCACTCCCAAACTGCGAACCTGCGCCTTCAGGGGGAGTGTAACCCCGTTGAGCACAGGCTGTAACTCTATGCCCTGTTCGGCCTTTTGACTGACCAGGAGTACCTCTGTCTTGTCTGGATTTAGTTTCAATCTGTTGGCCCTCATCCAGTCCCTTATAGTGGCCAAGCACCGGTTCAGGCCTTGAACAGCCTCCTTAGTAGCAGGTGGAAAGGAGTAACAGAATTGGACATCATCTGCGTACAGATGACACCGAACCCCGAAATGTGTAACTGTGTGGTATTCCTGATTCTTAGATATTCCCTAATCTAGGGGACACGTAGGGACTCTAAAAGCCCCCCAATCCCAATTATTAGGAAGCAATCACTATGGTTGACAGAGGTCCATTCAACTCTAACCATCACCCAAGTCAAAAAAGAAGCACAATTAAAGCCTTGGAGGACCGTGCAAAAAGAATCTGCGAACCCCACCTCCTCCAAGATGAACTGAACCACCTCAACTGGGCTCTACAGGCCAATGGATACTCCACCTCATACATCAGAAAAGCTGCAAGACGAGAGCAAGCCACGAGAGTAAAGACAAAGATACCCCCAGAGGAAAAGTGTTCTTGCATACATCAAGGGAACCACTGACCGCATAGGGAAGCTGATGAGGGAACACAACATACAAACTATCTACAGACCCACTAAGAAAATCCAACAAATGATACATTCTGCAAAGGACAAGAGGGATCCTCTCACTTCTGCAGGAGTCTACCGAATACCATGCAGCTGTGGACAAGTCTACATAGGGACCACCAAACGCAGCATTGCCCAAACACAAATCAAGGAACATGAAAGGCACTGCAGACTACTTCAACCAGAGAAGTCAGCCATAGAAGTGCACCTGATGAGCCAACCTGGACTCAAAATTGTATGCATGGGTGACTTAGATACTGAAACCTTTGCCTTTTGATGTTCAATGTACAAAGACTTGTTTCAATTACAACACTATTTTAAAAAGTTGCGTAAAAAATTACTTATGAAATATGCATTAATTTTATGTTCAAACTAGAGTACCATCTCATTATGTGTATTCCGAAACCCAAAACATTTCTTGTCCTAAACATTTCAGATAAGAGTGCACATCCGTATTTATCTGCCTTTCAATGTGGAAATGTTGGAACTTGACCTTATGCTCCAAAGCTCAAGGGGAATGTCACTGTAGAGGCCCACAAGCAACATTTCTTTCTTTTTATATCAAACTAGCTGTCCCCTGCCACGCGTTGCTGTGGCCCAGCCTGGTGATTCGGAACATACAGTAATGAGAAATTGTTGGTTTCTAATATTTGTAATTTCTTTATGGTTGTGGGTAAACAAACAGTGTTTCTTGCTGTTTCTTTGTCAGTGTTGATGTGGAGAGTGTCTGGTTTGCCTACTCTGGAACATGCAACATATTATTGTCCTTCTTTAGGGGTCCCTTTCAAATCTATGATACTATATCTGTGTGTGAGAGAGATTCATATATATTTATCTATATCTATGGCTGGATGGCTCTTTGTCAGGAGGGCTTTATGTTTTCTTGCTCTGGTGAAGGGAGTTGGACTGGATGGCCTTAAGGCAGCATTTCTCAACCTGGGGTTTGGGACCCCTGGGGGGGGGTTGTGAGGGGGTGTCAGAAGGGTCACCAAAGACCACCAGAAAACACAGTATTTTCTGTTGGTCATGAGGGTTCTGTGTGGGAAGTTTGCCCCAATTTCATCAGAATGCTCCTTGATTGTAGGTGAACTATAAATCCCAGTAAGTACAACTCCCAAATGTCAAGGTCTATTTCCCCAAAACTCCATCTGTGTTTATATTTGAGTTTGGTCCAGATCCATCATTGTTTGAGTCCACAGTGCTCTCTAGATGTAGGTGAACTACAACTCCAGAACCCAAGGCCAATGCCCACCAAACCCTTCTAGTGTTTTCTGTTGGTCAGGGGAGTCCTGTATGCCATGTTTGGTAGAATTCGATCATTGGTGGAGTTCAGAATGCTCTTTGATTATAGGTGAACTATAAATCCCAGCAACTACAACTCACAAATGACAAAATCATAATTTTTGAGTGATGGTCACTCCTTGTGTAATGAGACGTTTTGTTGCCAAATTTGGTGTGATTTCGTTCATTGGTTCTTTTGTTTTTAAGGTACTCATTATGCACAGAGCATTTTTATATATATAGATGCTACACATGCAACATAAATATCCTATTTTGGGTACCTTTAAGCTGTCTTCGACTTTTGGCCAAGTCATTCATCCATTTCATTACTTCTGGATTTCCTATTTTGTCAGCATACGAAGGCTGGAATGGAAAGAATAAAGAAGAAAAAATGAAGATGGCTAGATTGTGGCTTCAGTTCTTACTCATACAGATCTCCAAAGTCTAGATTTTAATATCCTAATGAATTTTCCAAATGTTGGTTTTAATCGAAATTGATCAGAAGTGAAATCGGTTAGCAGGGCATCTTGCACTTTAATGGAATCAACGACACCATTCAAGGGTCTGAGGCAGGGATGGACACTTGTTCTCCAGATACTATTGAATTGTAGCTGCTATCAGCTTTGGCAACAATGACCAATTGCAGGAGGAGCTGCAGACTGACATCATCTGCAAAACCAAAATATCTATATATGGCCTATTATTTCATAGAATCATAGAATCAGAGTTGGAAGAGACCTCATAGGCCATCCAGTCCAACCCCCTGCCAAGAAGCAGGAATATTGCATTCAAATCACCCCTGACAGATGGCCATCCAGCCTCTGTTTAAAAGCTTCCAAAGAAGGAGCCTCCACCACACTCCGGGGCAGAGAGTTCCACTGCTGAACAGCTCTCACAGTCAGGAAGTTCTTCCTCATGTTCAGATGGAATCTCTCTTTTCTTGTAGTTTGAATCCATTGTTCCGCGTCCTAGTCTCCAAGGAAGCAGAAAAAAGCTTGCTCCCTCCTCCCTGTGGCTTCCTCTCACATATTTATACATGGCTATCATATCTCCTCTCAGCCTTCTCTTCTTCGGGCTAAACATGCCCAGCTCCTTAAACCGCTCCTCATAGGGCTTGTTCTCCAGACCCTTGATCATTTTAGTCGCCCTCCTCTGGACACATTCCAGCTTGTCAATATCTCTCTTGAATTGTGGTGCCCAGAATTGGACACAATTTCTCAAACTCTGCTCCGCCAGATGTTTTGGACTTCAGTTCCCACAATATCTAACAGCTGTTAAACCGGCTGGGATTTCTGGGAGCTGAAGCCCAAAACACCTGGAAGAGCAGAGTTTGAGAAACATTGATTCAGAGTATTTATATATCACCTCCCAGCCCACCAGAGCCCTTGAACACAATACATGGAAGCATTTAAAACAACAAAAAGGCAAAAATTTACAAAAAAATGTTTTTAAAAACAATCTTAAAACAGTCCTTAAAATCAATTTAAAACTAAAAATTAAAACAGGCTGAATGGTGTAGAACAGAGGTCCTCAAACTATGGCCTGGGGGCCATATCCGGCCCTCCAAGGTCATTTACCTGGCCCTCACTCAGGGTCAACCTAAGTCTGAAATCACTTGAAAGCACACAACAACAATCCTATCTCATCAGCCAAAAGCAGGCCCACACTTCCCATTGAAATACTAATAAGTTTAAATTTGTTAAAATTGATCTTCATTTTAATTATTGTATTATTTTTAAGGGTTTTTTTGTACTACAAATAAGTTATGTGCAGTGTGCTTAGGAATTCATTCATGGTTTTTTTTCAAATTATACTCCAGCCCTCCAACAGTTTGAGGAACTGTGACCCGGCCCTCTGTTTAAAAAATTTGAGGACCCCTGATTTAGAACATCTAAGATCACCGTTTTAGCTGCCTTGATGAAGTCAGCCTTACCTTCCTTTGGCGAGGAGTTCCACAACCAGCATTTTGTAACAGATAAAGCCCTGCCACATGTGCCTGCCAACTGAACCTCTTAAGGTGCTGAGACATGCAACAGGGCTTCCCCTGAAAATCTCATATTTCAGGCTAGCTCATAGTCTTTCAGATATCCTGATCCCAAGTCATTAAGAGCTTTATAGGTCAAATTGAATTGAGCTCATATGCAAACTGAAAGTCAGCACAGTTCTTGTAGGACCAGCGTTATACAATCTCTAAAAGGCACGCGCAACTTCAGTGTGGCTGCCCCATTTGGCATAGCTATAGCTTTCAAATACTTTTCAAGTAGTGTAATCAGAAGGCAACTAAGACCTGAACCATTCTGACCAGGAACTTCATCAGGTGGAGGTCCTCAAGCCAAGGGAAAGAGGGGCATCCGTGGGGCAGAGGGGGAAATCCAAATGGCTGCAGAGGAAGCCATCACTCTCTGCCCCACATTGCCTGCATTGACACCTTCCCCATCCCATGGGGTGAAGCATCGCCACCTGGCTTCCCCACGTACTTTCCCAGGCTTGTCCTATGAGAATACGGGAAGCCTCCCATGTTCTCAGGGCTCCATTGTAGGATACTGCCAGGATGCTGGGAAGATGGAACCCCACTAGAAGTAGCTGTACACCATCTGATGGGATCCAGCAGGCTCCATCCTCCCAGCATCCTGAAAACATCCTAAGGAATTGAAATTGTCAAATGTGATGAGGTCAAAATGTGATGAGGTGAAATTGTCAAATGTGATGTCCTCCCCCACTGTGAGTGTTTTCCCACTGTGAGTGTCTCAGGCAGGATCCAGACAGGCCTTTATTTCAGAAGCATCTGTATTTTAAAAAATGTGGATATTTCTGAGGGCCTGTCCACACCCACCCCAGAAAGCACACATTTTCTGGGGTGGGTGTCCAGTCATTCTCTCAGGACTAGCCCGAGAGAATGTCTGGAGGCCCTTCCCCCAGGCTCCCAGACACCTTAGAAAAGTAATAAAAACTTACCCATCCGCCATTACATGCCTCAGCCAGCTCTCCCAGCGGGTAGAAGTGACGCACCTGGAGAGTGGGGGGGGGGGGGCGACGATTTTCCTCCGTCCTCCCCCTCCCTCCTGGTGCATCATTTATATGCACCAGGAGAGCCAGCCCAGGCTTTTAATGGAGCATGGATAAGTTTTTATTACTTTTCTAAGGGGTCTGGGGGCTTGGAAGGGCAGAATAAATCCACTATCAAATTATTTTGCTACAAACCAGGGTTTTCCTTCAGGTTCCAGGAGCCCAAAGAACTGGGATTGCTGTGGTGATTGACCCCTGGGGGCATGGAAGTAGTCTCAGGAGTCAATTCCCACAAAGCCTACACCAGGAAAGATCCGGACCTTACATTGAGGTCTGTATCTTTCTAGGTATTTAATTAACCGACAGTAAACTGGTAAATCCCAGTTTACTCCAGATTAATTCAGGTTTACCTGGGGTGTCATTTGGGCTCCTCAAGTAAACCCATGACAGATTGTGGGTCTGTGTTGTAGTTCAGCGTGATGGTAACGTTGCTACTACTGGTAGGAGGGAGAAGAGAGCTGCACAGGTGTTGGAAGAGGAGCAGCAGCCTTTGAGGGCTTCTCCGACTGTGAAATGGGGGATGGAGAGGAAAGCAGGGGAGTCAAGCGGGTCACTCGCGATCCAGAGTCTGACGAGGAAACTCAAAGGAAGCATATCTGTGATATACTTAACGCTCCTACGGAGGACGAGGACTTCATGGGCTTTGAAGGGAGTGATGGGTCTGGGAGTGACATTGGGGAAGAGGATGGGCTCGATTGGACCCGTGTACAGGAGATTAGGGATATCTGTAACCAACCCACCTCCAGTGATGACTTCGAAGGGTTTACAGAGGAATGGCAACCGGGGAGCACTTGGCAAGATCTAAGTCTTGACAGATGCTGGCAGAGGTGGATGGATGGGCATATGGGTTCAGCTGCAGGGAATGGGGCAGCTGAGAGCGATGATGAAAGGGTGGGGAACACCTCATCTTCTGATGAGGAACTTTAGGATAAAAGTGGGTATTGTTTGCATGGATCTTTGCAAAAGGCAAAGTGTCTCTTTTGGGGTGTGAATTTTTGTTACTGCCAATTCTCGAGCTTGGGTCCTTGGACTACAGATTCCTGTGTTCCTGCGTTCCTGTGTTTACGTCTTGTGATTCTGTGATCAACGACTTCTACTCTACTGCTTTGACTCCGGACCGCTTTGGGCAACGCGTTTTTGCCTCTTGGACTTTGTCAACTTGCTTGCATCGTGCTACAACTTTGGACCGTTTTTGGACTGTGTTTTTGCCTGTTCCTATTGTGCCTTTGTGCCTCCTGTGAACTGCGTGAGTTTAAAGTGGATTGCTGAATACCTTAGTTACGCCAGGATAATCCGGGTTATATTTCAATTGCTTTTTTCACCTTGTTTTTGATATCAACTCTTTATTTGAACCTGAGGCACTGAAGTAAGTGCTTCAAAGACTATTTTGTGAACAATAAAACTGTGTTTGGACTCTGCATCTTGTGTTTGGCTTCTTTAAGGCTTCTGGGTCTTGACAGCCTGTCTGGAAGGGTTCTAAGTAGCAATGCAGTAATTTAGATTTCCACCTTCTTTGATCCTTAAAACCATTAAAAAAACCATCTGGGATCCACCCAATACAATCTCTCCCAGCCTGTTTGCTCATCTTTCATAAACATTTTCCTCTCCTCTCCTCACATATGGAAGAAACACAAGGCATGTTCTTTGGCTACATATTTGCTTAGCTCCTTGGTTCCTTACCCGATAATTCTTTTCTTGCTCAAACTTTTCTTCATATTTCCTGATTTTCCTCTTCAGACTCTGAAGGTGTTTTGTGAGTTGTGCTACTGTCTGCGGCTCTTTGCAATCCTCACAGCTACCTCTAGAAGAACTTCTTGGCCTGCAAAGTTAGAAACAGTGAAAGGGCCCATGTATGATACCATTTTTTAAGGATTACGGTTACGACTGCACTAGACTGCTGAAAGGAAAGGAATGAAAAATAAAGAAAAATACCAAGGAGAGGGAAAAAGGAGGAAAAAGGAGGAAGCAAACCTGGGCAGCTTTTGTTCTTTCACTAAGCAGAGAGCAGAATATGAATCGTTTCATAGCATGGAACAAGAGGCAGGTGAGTCTGACCTTGGTCATACTGACCTGGGGATTCTGAGAGCTGTAGTCCAAGCTTCTCCAACACCCAATATAAAACTTTCTCAAACTCTGGCATGGATTTATACACACCATTGTATGCCTATATCTACAAACCAAACAGCTGGCTATGAGATACGGGTAGAATTGAGATGATGTCAGGCACAGAAACCAATTGGAGAGTTAATTATAGTGATGGTCACATGCCTCTAATGCAGTGGTTCTCAACCTTCCTAATGCCGTGACCCCTAAAGACAGTTCATCGTGTTGTGGTGACTCTCAGTCATAAAATTATTTTCATTGCTACTTCATAACTGTAATTTTGCTATTGTTATGAATTGCAACGTAAACATCTGGTAAGCAGGATGTATTTTCATTCACTGGACAAAATTTGGCACAAATACTTGATATGCCCAAATTTGAATACTAGTGGGGTTGATAGGGGATTGATTTTGTCATTGGGGAGTTGTATTTACTGGGATTTATAGTTTACCTACAATCAAAGGGCATTCCAAACTTTATCAACGATGGAACTGAATCAAACTTGCCACACAGAACTCCTAAGACCAACAGAAAATACTGGAAGGGTTTGGTGTGCACTGACCTTGATTTTTAGAGTTGTAGTTCATCTACATCAGAGAGCATTGTGGACTCAAATGATGGAGGATCTGGATCAAACTTGGCACAAATCCTCAATATGCCCAAATGTGAACATTGTGGAGTTTGGGAAAATAAGATCTTAAAGTTGAGTGGTTCTCAACCTTTCTAATGCAGAAGGAGGCGAGGGACGGGCGGATGGATTCGCGTGCGCGGTCTAGGCGCCCGCGGAACCACTCACCCGTCCCTCGCCTCCTTCTGCCATCAGAAGGAGGCGAGGGATGGGTGGATGGCTTCGCGCGCACAGCCTAGGCGTCCGCGGAGCCACTCGCCCGTCCCTCGCCTCCTTCTGCCATCAGAAGGAGGCGAGGGATGAGCGGATGGCCTCGCGCGCAGCCTAGGCGCCCGTGGAGCCACTCGCCCATCCCTCGCCTCTTTCTGATCCCAGATGTAGGCGAGGGATGGGTGGATGGCTCCATGGATTGCTAGGCATTCAAGACTGCAGAAAGAAGTTCACTCACACTTCAGCCCAGAGCAGAGGGTCTTCAAGAAATTGTGAGTCTTCTTTGGAGGGGGTTTGGCCAGCCAATGCGGCTTCGCGACCCACAGAAAATGGCCGAACGACCCCCCAAGGGGTCGTGACCCCCAGGTTGAGAACCACTGGTCTAATGGATGATGAGCATAGACGGATTGATGTCTGCACCAATTTGTATCCATTTTTAAAGGTAACTTTGTATATACAGTATGATTTCCATACCCTTGAGTGATCGTTTCAAGACAGATACATTCCACCATGAAGACCTGAAACTGTAGATCAGGGGTCCTCAAACTAAGGCCTGGGGGCCGGATACGGCCCTCCAAGGTCATTTACCTGGCCCTCACTCAGGGTCAACCTAACTCTGAAACGACTTGAAAGCACACAACAACAATCCTATCTCATCAGCCAAAAGCAGGCCCACACTTCCCATTACTAATAAGTTTATATTTGTTAAAATTGTTCTTCATTTTAATTATTGTATTGTTTTTGTTTTTTGCATTACAAATAAGATATGTGCAGTGTGCATAGGAAATCATTCATGTTCTTTTCAAATTATAATCCTGCCCTTCAACAGTTTGAGGGTCTGTGACCTGGCCCTCTGTTTAAAACGTTTGAGGACTCCTGCTGTAGATAATAGCAAACCCTTTATTTTACTGTGCTTGAGCTGAAAGCATGCTATAGAATAATGTTACTTCCTCTTGCTCACCACTCCACTGACAGCTGTCTTTTCCTTGTTTTTCTTGAAGTCATTGATGATTTTCTGGGAAAATTCCAACGTTTCCCTTTAATCATACCCCATGAAATAATTGATCTATGGAGAAATCATTCATGTTCTTTTCAAATTATAATCCTGCCCTTCAACAGTTTGAGGGTCTGTGACCTGGCCCTCTGTTTAAAACGTTTGAGGACTCCTGCTGTAGATAATAGCAAACCCTTTATTTTACTGTGCTTGAGCTGAAAGCATGCTATAGAATAACACAAGAAGGCTTACAGTGTTCCATGAATACTTCAAGAAAAATATTTATAGACTGTGGTAAATGAAACTTGGGATATTGGGTCCAATGTACAGGTTCCTATGAGAGCATTTTAAAATAAATATTTGGATATATTGCAATGCTATTCTTATCCCCCCCCCAATATTGTTCCAATATTATTAGTTACCCCTATGTAGTTTACAGGGACTTGATTTCCAAAATTTGGGAAGGCTCAAGTGCCATTATTTACAATGGTGTAACAAAAAAAATGCTAAAATAAAAAGTTGGGTTTTTTTCAAGCTGTGGATTCTGGAATCTGTGGATACAGAATCTATGGAGTATTGAAGACTGTAGAGAAGTGTTTATTATAAAGGGTTTAATGTACTGTGTTTAAACTGTATTTATGTTTTACATGCGTGGCCATGGCCTAGCTGTGAGAGATAGGTTGCCATGGTGACAAGGCAGAAGAGAAGGTGGGCGGAGCTTAAGGAGAAAAGGTTTGAAAGTAACAGTTAAGAGTCAGTCAGGAGGATGAGACCCTGAGAAGAGGAGGGAGTCAGTTAGGGCTCTGTGTGGTGAAGCAGTATAAATTCAGTTAGTTCTTAGCATTTGTGAAAATTTCTTCAGCAAGGGAGCTGAAGGTGAAACCTTGTTAGATTGCTTGTGTTAAAAAGAATCTAACAAAGGGGGTTTTAGGGATCCCAGTAGTGAAAGACTGGAGATCGGTGGTTTGATCCGGTATAGGACAAACAGAGTGAATATTCACAACAGGGAACACTGAAATAATAAAGTACTTCACTGAAGAAGGAGTTTAAAGGATTGTAACATCAGAAGCCTGAATGTATCTCTACCAAGCCATATTGTAACCATCAAGTTTGTGCCAAGTTCAACATCTTAGTATTGCAACAATTACGCTCTGTTAACAATAAACTTGTTCTCTCTGTGTTATAAATCTGCCTCCTCCATTGATTTTACATTTGGTGCAATCCACTCTACCAAAGTTGCCTCACAACGCAGATAGGGATGAACAGAGACTTCAATTCCAACATCTCTTTATATATATAATGGTGGCAGTGTAATCAAGCAGTATTGGGACTTCCTTATAATTTATGCTGAAATTAGGTGGATCAACATACATATTTACTTAATTTTGGTAATCCCATTTAGGTGGGATTACGCTTCCTTACAAAGACCAACTCTATTTGTTTTTCTTTGAAGAAGGGGCAAGTGCTATTTGGCCCGCTTCTGGTCCCTGGCTTCGGCTCAAGCCAGAGAAGCCAGTTTTAAACAAGAGAAAGAAGGAATTTCCTGGCCTCGGCTCAAGCCAGAGAAGCCAGTTTTAAAGCCAGAGAAGCCAGTTTTAAACCAGAGAAGGAAGGAATTTCCTCCGCTTGCTTTTCCCTGCTTCTGGTCCTTGGCTTCGGCTGAAGCCAGAGAAGCTAGTTTTAAACCAGAGAAGGAAGGAATTTCCTCCTCTTGCTTTTCCCCGCTTCTGGTCCCTGGCTTCAGCTCAAGCCAGAGAAGCCAGTTTAAAGCCAGAAAAGCCACTTTCAAACCAGAGTAGGAAGGAATTTCCTGGCCTCGGCTCAAGCCAGAGAAGCCAGTTTTAAACCAGAGAAGGAAGGAATTTCCTCCACTTGCTTTTCCCTGCTTCTGGTCCTTGACCTCGGCTGAAGCCAGAGAAGCTAGTTTTAAACCAGAGAAGGAAGGAATTTCCCCCTCTTGCTTTTCCCCGCTTCTGGTCCCTGGCCTCAGCTCAAGCCAGAGAAGCCAGTTTAAAGCCAGAAAAGCCACTTTCAAACCAGAGAAGGAAGGAATTTCCTGGCCTCGGCTCAAGCCAGAGAAGCCAGTTTTAAACCAGAGAAGGAAGGAATTTCCTCCACTTGCTTTTCCCCGCTTCTGGAGTAAAACAACTACTTTCAAATTAAAGACCACCCAATGAAACAGGAAATAACACTTTCAAACCATTAACGAAAGGATTTGGAAGTCTTGGAAGTTTTGAAAAGTTTTGAACATTTTTTTCTGTGAAAATCAGAATTGACTTTGGAATTGAACCACCAGCACATCCGAAACGAGTTTTGAACCAATTTTTTTTTATCAACCAAGCCTACTATATAGGTTGTGGAAAATCCAGTGGACATAAACTTACATCATGAAGAGTTGAGCACTTGGTGGGGAAGGGGCCGATTCAGGGTCCAGATTAAATCTCTGACTTTGGCTAAAGATAGAGCACCGAGGAGACAGCAGAGGATTATCTCCATCAGTAATGTGATATAGCAGTCTGCTAGTCCCTAAGGATTGATGCTCTTCGTGTCCACTGTCCGCATCTCCCTGGCCCTCTCTGATGACCAGTCCGGGCTCTGCAATCACAAAATGAATTCAACAGGCATTTAGAAGGGCAATCTCATTAAGCAGAACACATTATACAAGCATCTTTGTGGTTAACCATGCTCCTGCGAGACAATGGTTTTTTGGCATTGTGGAAAAAGAGTGCAGCATGTATAGAGAAAAGGTCACGTCAACAAAAGCAAGAAGGTAGATTAAGAGAAGGTCCATTAAACTTTTGTCAAGATTGCCTCATTAAGCATCCTTACATGGAACAAAGACATACATTGAAATTATACTTAAAATCATACAAAATATGAGTAAACTGCTAAGCTGCATATTACAAAAATGAAAAGCATTTTGCTCTTGTTTCATTTCTTGTTCACAGTATTATTTATTTATTTATTTACTTTGCTTATATACCGCTGTTCTCAGCCCGGGGGCGACTCACAGCGGTGTACAACATAGGAAGAACAAAATTCAAGACACAGTATAAAAGACAATTCACAATCCGGCATTATACAAAAACATCATCATTGCTACGAAACCATTCAGCGTCGTCTCATCATCCAAATCACAATCCAGTATCATTTTCTGTTGTTCCATTCCTATAGTCATTACCAATCATTGCACTTCTTGTTCGAACACCTTCTTGAACAACCAAGTCTTTAATTTCCTGCGGAATATCATCAAGAAAAGAGCCAGTCTAACGTCCACGGGAAGGGTGTTCCACAGCCGAGGAGCCACCACCGAGAAGGCCCTATCTCTCGTCCCCGCCAGCCGTGCTTGTGAAGCGGGCAGGATCGAGAGCAGGGCCTCCCCGGAAGATCTCAAAGTCCTGGTTGGGCTCGTAGGCCGAGATGCGGTCGGATAGGTATCTAATGATTCCACTTTAACTGCCACTATTGTATCCTACAGAATCCTGGGATTTATAATTCTCTCTGGCTCAGCATTTTAAATATGTCTCCCTATACAAAAAGTCCCAGAAACCTATAGGATGGAACTATAAGCATTACAGGAGGATCATGGTGCTATAGCTGTGTGAAAAGGCCACAGTGTGCAGACTGCAATGCTCTGGGGTTAAGCTCCGAGGATTGAATGAAAAGTAATGCCTCCACCTTTGTAACTCCTCAACAGATGGCAGTACTGGTATGCAGGTACTGGCTTGTTCGGTAGACTCTCCTCTATAGTTCCATTTTGGTGGGAAGCCTTAGCTTTGAATGGTTGTGTTGTTAAAGTGCAAAGTATGGAACCCTGAGTAGATGTATTGTCGAAGGCTTTCATGGCTGGAATCACTAGGTTCTTGTGGGTTTTTTTGGGCTATAGGGCTATGTTCTAGAGGCATTTCTCCTGACGTTTCGCCTGCATCTATGGCAAGCATCCTCAGAGGTAGTGAGGTCATTACCTCTGAGGATGCTTGCCATAGATGCAGGTGAAACGTCAGGAGAAATGCCTCTAGAACATGGCCCTATGGCCCGAAAAAAACCCACAAGAATCCTGAGTAGATGGTCGGTCAATGAGACTTAAGCAACGTGCAGTCATTGAATTCTTGACAGCAGAAGGTGTCACTCCAAAAGAGATTTATCAGAGAATGCAAGCTGCTTATGGTTATTGTGTTGATGTGAGTACTGTGCGTTGTTGGGTGAGAAAGTTTAAAGATGTTGAGGTAGGAACATCTGACTTGCGTGAAAAACAAAGAGTTGGACATCCTGTAACAGCAGCCATCGAGTTTCACAAGCAAAAGGTTGACAGATTGATTCAGGACTATCGTCATATCACTCAGAGAGAAATTTCAAGCATAATTTCACAAGAACATGTGGGTCACATTATTGCTTTGCTTGGCTACTGGAAGATCTGTGCACAATGGGTACCCAGGATGCTGACGCCTGAAATGAAAATGCACAGACTTGAAACTTCAGAGACTGGATCTCACCACCATACGACATCCTCCATACAGTCCAGATTTAGCACCGTCTGACTTCCATCTGTTCCTGACAATGAAAGATCTGTGGGGACATCATTATGCTTCTGATGAAGACGTTGAGAGAACTGTGAGACGCCAGTTGTGGAAACAAAGTGTCGACTTCTTCTGTGACTCTGTCAGAAAACTTGTTCATCATTTGCAGAAATGTATCCATTGACTGGTGATTATGTGGATAGTGGTAGATGAAGAGCACATTCTAAGGATTATTTCTGCGTTTGATTAATTAAAATATTCCCATCCAAACCCAATTAACAAAGGTGGAGGCATTACTTTTCATTCAACCCTAGTAGTCATGAATTTCACAGAATTAAATAAGAACTGAACATATCTTTTAAAAAAATCTTCTTCATGGGAATATTTTAAAAACACGTATGTGTATCAAACATTGTACAAATCAACCCCCCCCCCCAAAAAAACCTATATAAAGTTCCTCATATTATGTGCACACACACACATATGTATATGACAGATATAGTTACTTACTTAGGCGATCCCTCGTTTTCCGAGGAGGATTGTCTTCCAGTGTTCTTGTGGGTCCGTATGTGGCTGTGGAGCCCTATTCTTGCTCTGCATCTTCTTCTGCAGTGAGGGTATTGGTTTCCAGGTGGTAGGCGGACTCGGTTGGGGTTGGCTTGATGTGCCTTCCTCTTGGCACGCTTCTCCCTTTCGCCCTCCATTCATGCCTCTTCAAATTCTACAGCACTGCTGGTCACAGCTGACCTCCAGCTGGAGTGGTCAAGGGCCAGGGCTTCCCAGTTCTCAGTGTCTATGCCAGAGTTTTTAAGGTTGGCTTTGAGCCCATCTTTAAATCTCTTTTCCTGCCCACCAACATTCCGTTTTCCGTTCTTGAGTTCGGAGTAGAGCAACTGCTTTGGGAGACGGTGGTCAGGCATCCGGACAACGTGGCCAGTCCAGTGGAGTTTATGGCGGAGGACCATCGCTTCAATGCTGTGGTCTTTGTACTTCCAGCACGCTGACATCTGTCCGCTTGTCTTCCCAAGATATTTGCAAGATTTTCCGGAGGCAGCGCTGATGGAATCGTTCCAGGAGTTGCATGTGGCGTTGTAGACAGTCCACGTCTCACAGGCATATAGCAGGGTTGGGAGGACAATAGCTCTATAAACAAGCACCTTGGTATCCCTACGGATGTCCCGGTCCTCAAACACTCTCTGCTTCATTCGGAAAAACGCTGCGCTCACAGAGCTCAAGCGGTGTTGTATTTCAGTGTCGATGTTGACTTTGGTGGAGAGGTGGCTGCCAAGGTAGCGGAAATGATCAACATTTTCTAATGTTACACTATTAAGCTGTATTACTGGCATTGGAGAGGGGTTAGCTGGTGTCTGCTGGAACAGCACCTTGGTTTTCTCAATGTTCAGTGACAGGCCAAGCTTCTCGTATGCTTCTGCGAAGGTGTTTAGAGTGGCTTGTAGATCTTCTTCTGAATGCGCACAGACGACATTGTCATCAGCATACTGGAGTTCTATAACAGATGTTGTTGTAACCTTGGTTTTGGCTTTCAGTCTGCTGAGGTTGAATAGCTTGCCATCTGTCCGATAGATGATTTCCACTCCGGTGGGAAGCTTCCCATCAACAAGGTGAAGTATCATAGCGATGAAGATGGAGAATACAGTTGGGGCAAAAACACCGCAGCCACAGGATGTTCACAAATTTGTTGTGAACATCCTGCCTTGCCCTTGCATCTCTCAACATGTTCCACCAAATCTTCTCCAGAAGGTCCCTCAGGCCCCTTTTACACTGCCATATAATCCAGATTATCAAATCAGATAATCTACATTATCTGCTTTGAACATTATATGAGTCTACACTGCCAGTTAAAAACAGACAACCTGGATATGGCAAGATAGAAAAGTCCTCAAATTAAATGTGTTAGATTAATCAATTTATGAAACAAAATAAGTAGCATAGGCAATAAAGCATTGTGTATGAAAAGGGACTACAAATACATTTCTCTAAAGAAAAAACAAAACTGAACATGCAACGTTCTGACAGATATCACGACAAGTGCCTGACGACCTCCTGTTCTCCACCTAGACTTTCAAACAATGCCGATTGACTGCTTATTTAATGTAGGATCCTGAATCAATCATCTCTGACACAATTCTTCCTTGATGGTTTATTTCAGATTAAAAGGAGAGTCAAGCTGCTGTCTTTCAAATAAATATATTCTGTATTTCTAGCATTCCAGTTGCCAAAAGGAAAAGTTGTAGAGATGTGCAGTATACAGGCAGTCCCCACATTACAAACATCCAAGTTACAAACAACTCATAGTTAAGAACAGGGGTGAGAGAACAGGAAGTGAAAGAAATCTACCTCCAGGAAGGGAAATTCACTCCTGGAAGAGTGACTGTTCTGGTACAGCTGTACCAGGAGCTTCAACCTTATTTGCTTTGTATTAAATGTTTGTTTGCAGTCCCAGATTTCAGGGACTCTGCAGATAGGTGGCTTCTTTTCGGTTGCAGTCATAGGGCAAGTCACCTGTCCATCATCATTAAGTTTTGGTTCCGCCCCTTGCTCAGGGCAATTGGGAAGGGAAGGGAGCCATTTTTTAGTTAGTCTCAGCAAGGAAAACTAATGTATAGGACGTGTGCAAGCTTCCCCTGTACAAAAGCTTCAACCTTTAAGAATTTCCAGGAAAACAGCCCTAAAGACCAAAGAACTCCAGCTGGAGAACATCTAAGCCTTTACTGGTAGGTCACTCGGCATTCGAGAAGCAGTTCGACCCGGTAGCGGAGCCCACATCAGTAAGGGTTAGATTACAGTCAGCCTGGGAGAAGTTAAAAAGGGGATTTTCCTTTAAAGAAGAAGTTATTGAAGACAGTTGCCTGTCCTTCGTGGGCAAGATTAGGAATTCACCAGTTGCCTAAAAGCTTGGAATCATTTGCTTAACTTTACTGAAAACAAGAGAAGTTTCTGTTTGATTGGGTTAAAGCACTGAGCTGCTAGGCTTGTTGACCTAAAGGTCGCAGGTTCGATCCCAGGGAGCGGCGTGAGCTTCCGCTGTCAGCCCTAGCTTCTGTCAACCTAGCAGTT